TATATATATATATATACATACATATATACACACAATACACACATACACACACTTTTTATTATTAACCTAATATGAATATATTGATCATTTTTTAATGTATATATTACAAAAATATATATATAAATGTGTGTGTGTGTGTGTGTGTCTAAATTTTAATGTAAACTTTATAATTATATCAATATATTATAATACAACAAAATATTAATTTACAGTTTATAGTAATATATATGATTCATATATATCATATATGTATCATATTGTTATATTACTAACGTACTGTACATCATGCTATCTCAATTTTATTTTAGATCATTTATCTGACTTTATTACTCCAAAGAATATGAGATTTATTAGCAAACTTGATTTATATACAAATTTGTAGCCTGTATAGTTTGTGAAATATGAATAAAAATGAAGAGGGTGAATTATATGTTTAGTTGTAGAAACTATCAGACGGTCAGATGTTGGTCAGACTCGTGGTCTGTCGGGTTTAGAGCAGATTACTGAACTCATGAAGTCACCGCTCATCCACATTTAGCCTCAGACGCCTGAGCTGTGGACACTCACACGTCCACTGGACCTGAGTGAAAACACCACTGGAATCACTGCTTTCTTCACCATCAGCGGCTGAGAGAGACCTGCCACTCCATGCACACAGTGAGTAATGGCTTTATCAGGATAGAGTCAGTAGTTTTGTTTGTATTTATAGTCATTGACTATAATTATGGTTGCTTTGCTTTTAGTTGATGTTGGGCTGCTGTATGTTAGTGTTTGGTCACAGAAAGGTCAAAGGTTCGAACCCCACAAGGGTTGATACATTAACTGTCCACACTGTGTTCATCTGTCAGCTTTGCATTAAAAATGCATTGAAATTGAAGTGAGATTAAGCTGTACATGAGCATCAGTGCAGGTCAGGAAGGACTAGAGGAAAACGTGCGAAAGCTTACGTTTATCTACATTAGTGGCTCTTAAAAGGTCTCAGGGGTCAATTACTGCTGTATTTATCGAAACTGTTACAGGTGGTTTAATAACCGCATGCTATAAAGTGAAAAGCTAAAATGAGCTGATCAGAATTCAATATTTCACTCAATCCCTCACATAAAATTAGCGATTGTACCTTAAGTTTCTGTCAAAATACCATAGTTACTCACAGAAACTTGCTTTCTGTCATTTCATTTTTTTAAATATTTATTATGACAGTGATGCTAATATCATGTTTGGACAGTTTTATAAACAATTCTCACATAGAAATGGCAAGTAACGTTTTATTAAATATGACATTTAAAGGCAAGAAAAACTGAAATAGTAGCTATATACTCAAATAATCATTGTTTTATTTATAAAATTGAAAAATCATTTTTTACAGTGTAAACAGTGGCATTTTGTTCATGTTTGTAAGGCATGTTTGGTAAGGTTGAAGTTATTTATAGGTTACTCTATTTGTAGATCAACTGTCCTTTAATTAGATGTGAAATAGTAAGAGATAATCTGTTAGTATTAATTTAGATATTGTGTTTTATGGGAGATATGAACAAAACAGATGTCTATGCAGCTTGTCTAAATCCTCTTGAATGCTTAAGGAATTAATTTCTTTCCCTGAAACCTGCTTGTAGCTCTATTTATGTGAGTCTGCAGGTCCTAGTGATTGTGT